TACAGCAGAGGAAATGTTTTCTCTAAATACTTCTATGAAGCTCAGCTGTCTGGAACATCTTTCCTTTACTCAGGCATTAAAAAGCACAGAATAACAGTAATTAAGAGTCAGATTAGCTGAATCCTGCATTCTATAGGGAGTTCATATCAATCCTACTCAGAACTCGTGACCAAAAAGCCTCATGAATTGAGTTTCAACATATATTTAATAGAAGTTTAAAAAAAGCAACAAAGTACTGAATAGCTGCTCCTGTTTGCATTAGTTATGTGAGACACTGCTCAGGCTCTACATATGCAGCCATGAAATGGGAAGAACCTATGTTTCTTGGGAAATTGGTAGGACCCCTCAACAGCATTCTGATGGGTGTAATCATAAAGGTTAGAAGTATATATGATTCAGACATGCAAAAGGCTATGAAGAGAAACCAAACCCACTCATGTAGGAAGTACTGAGCATAGTGCAAAATTAATCATAACATTGCAAGAGTAGGTGGAAAGAGAGGGGACTGAGTGCAGTGGACTGGTAAGAACATGCTGTCACTGAAATAGAGTAGAAAAAAAGAAAAACACAAACAAAACAACAATACCATCCCTCTGCCTTCAACTGCTGGCCAAGGTACTAGATAGCCAAGTAGTAAAAGAGCAGACTAATCACAGTCTGCACTAAGTCTTAATTGTGAAAAACAGACTGGTAGATTATTAGATTCATAGCCAGGAATCAGCTTGTAACTGTGACTCTCCCTACTGCAGCAATTTCTTTTTGGTTCTGTTAACATTCACATTAACATTACCATTTACATTCCTACACTACTACATATCATGGAAAATTATTTCTACAAGCAACTACTTCTATTCTGAGAATACATGTATGTAGTTATTGCCGTGTACCACTGTTGCAAGGCTCAGGCAACACTTTAGGAGCAGTCCTTATCTTTTGCATAAAGCAGCTCCATGGGCCAGGCAATTTAATTAGCTAGTGACTTCTCACAGTGCTGTGGGTAGCTCTCCATTGAAAGCAGCTTATGGCAAAGTCAATACAGAATGTACAAACCACCATCTTAAACATATCCAAGAGGTTTACTGCAAAACGCTCCTTGCTATCAGTCAGCATAAGAGTAAAGGAAGGAGGGAAGCCTAGCATTACACAGCCATACTGAGGGATGACAAGAGCACACATTCTAGAAAGTGATGTACATTCTCTCTTCTTGATTCTTTCTAGGTATTTATGTAAGTGATTACCTATACCATATCACAGCTATAAGATTAATGTACACCTGCTCAATATTTAATTATATTCAAGCTTTCACGGTTATCACTTTTTGGTTTGATTTATTTTTACATCTTTTCCACTTTACCAGCAGCTCTCTCCAGAAGTTTCCCTTTGTCTACAAATCACACTGATCTGCCACACCTACAGCAACATGGTAAAGCCTCATGGTAAAGCAGCATATCAAAGTCTACTAAGTCTTCCCCCTCCATATTCTTGATAACTTTCCACCATTTAAATCTTTTGCTACAGTTCTAACACTTTACCCAACTCATACGGGAACTTCAGCCTATTAACCCAGCTACAGAACTGAGACACTTCAAAACCAATATTGAGATCTTACATCTGACTCTCAGCTCCACAAAAAACAAGTGAAAAGCACATTTGGAATACAGCCCATGGACTTGCAGGGGATACCACACCATTTTGAGTTTTGCAGGGTATTGCTATTTTCAACTATGTGCTGATTAAATGCATGATAAATTTAGGTCACATCACCATCCACCAGATCAAAACATCATATTTAGCAGAAAATATTTCTCACAGATGCCACAATGTGCAAATTTAGTAGCATCACTGAACTCCAGAAACTGCTGTTGCCTTTCCACATGTACTTTGCCTATTTAAGCATTTTGTACTATTTCTGTTGTCTACTTCATCACAGCTCAATATATATTTTGTCTTAAAATAATAAAACATTATATAAATGCACATAACTTGTTAATATACTCTCCTTTCTTGCTCCTGGGGGATTCAAATTACAGGTGATAATGGCAGAGCTAACAGTAAACATTAACTAAGTTCTGATAACACTCTCTGAGGATTGGAGCATGTGCTAGACAATCACTGGCTACCATCCAAGGCAAATCAGCTTTGGAGCTAGAACTTCTGGGTCAAAAATAAATAATAGATTAACCAGGAAGAGATTTGAATATCACAGCCTACCAGACCAATGAAGACAACTGGAAGTTTTAAAAGAAAGTATTACCCAAGAGCTACTTTAGATTTTCCCCTCATTTCTTCCTGTTTAAAGTATCACAGATACTGAAAGAAAAGAAGGAACAAAAAGATCCTGTCTCAGTTCCAGTAAATACTTCAGAAAGAGAAAATGAATCAGGAAACTTGATTTTTTTTTTTTTTAATTAATTTGGGCATACTCAATAAAGTGAAAAAAAATAATATCCATAGTCTCTGTTTGTCTTAAATATATCCATTGTCACATACTTCTATAGGGAAAAAAAAAAAAAAACTTATTTCTCAGAGAAAAAGCCTTGTTCCTTAGCAGTATTAGCTACACAAATGGAAAAAACAAAAAAACCCACAAACATCAAAGCCAAAGACTTCTAACCTCAGAAATTTTGCTCAGAGCAAGCATAGCAATGCAAGAACAGAGGGCAACTCCTAGATTATTTGCCCATTTTTAAAATACATCAAAAAACTTAAATACACACAGACTTCACACTAAGATAGCCCACTGAAGCAATAGTAAAACTGGAAAGCCTTACCTCTTGATCTGCCCCCATTGCTACCAGAGAACCTACCACAACCCTAACCATTTCCCCCCCCTTTTCAGTCTCAGCTTTAAATACACTTCATCTGTGAACTGATTGTATCCAGGTGCAGAAGTGTCCTAATGGTAACAGTGCAGCCCATGTTCTCCAGGAAAGAGGTGGCATTGTTAATGATTACAAGCTGCTCACACCTGAGCCTTGCATAGCTTTCTTGGTGGAAATGGGATTAGAGAAGTAATTGTTTATTTGGATTTTCAGGTAGGAATCATGTGCTTTTGAGCAATGCATGTATGTAGAGTGGGCAATGAAGACAGTTTTACAAAATAATGGACTTACAGTCTGATACTATGGTAGGTTTCTAATGAGTTAATGTTCCCATTACAGTATTGAGTTATAAGAATGACATAATTATACTCTAAGTATCATTTAGAAAGCATTTTTCTTTAAAAGCCTAGATGCTTGGGAAACTGCTTAGGATTCCACCAGGAAAGCTGAGCGTGAGTATTCAATATTGCATCCTTTTAAAACAAATCTACCAGGTATGTCTCCTTAAGCTCTGGGACTTCTCTGTCTTGTCTGGTTTCCTGGTACTTGTTCATGCAGGTCTTGCTCTGTGAGCATGCCTGTGACTAGCTGTGACACGGCATCTTTTCTTTCAAATTAATCTTTTTTTAGAACACTTCTCTTATTTTAAATCTATCTAGACTTCCTTTTTCCAGAGCTCTAGTACCCAGTTCTCTTCTTACTTGCTTTGCTTACTGCAGAGCACTTGCTTCTATGAAATAGATTAATACTAGGTCTTGGGAGTACAGGAATTACCCCTAAGAAAAAACATTTTATTCAGAACTGCTGAGTTGTGAAAACTTGGATCGGGAAGACAATGGGTGAATGTACCTTTAGATTTGCATCACAGACTGGCAATACGAATAAAGGAAATGGCTGTTGTCTTGTACACTCTTATGAGTAACCTGTATGAGATTTCAGTTCCTATATTAAGAGATAGAGACAAACTGGTGCATTTCTAAGCACCTTTTGCAGTATAATTACCAACTTCAAATAAGCACATCTCTGTTCCAAGCCAGAGTTTGTAGACAAACTGTTTGCATAGCTGAACCTACTCCCTTGCTATGGATGGAATCAGCTACATGTGGACGGATTGGGAGCGTTCAGCAGCAGAATCTCCCTTTGTGATTGAGTTGTACATATAGTGTTAAAAACAGGTACATAACTACTTGCTGGTAAAAACTCCCCCTTTTTTTTTTTTCCTTACCTGATTAACAGGTTGCTTATGATTTGACATCATTTCTTCTGGCTCCATTTTTGCTCTGGACAGGAGTCTCTTGCTTCAACACAAGAAGCAAAAATCATTTCATTCATAATGCTGTTGGTTTGAGTTTTTAACCTTTCTCATCATTTATGATTTTCAGCTCTGAGTTAAATGAGTGAGGTGCCATCTTAGGTGGCTCTGGCACCAGAAAATCGAGCCCCTCGCAAGTTTGTGCCAGTGAGTTTCTGGCTGATATGCCTCAGATGAGCCAAACTGGCTGTGCTCAGAGGTGCTTCTCAGCAAATGAGTTTAAGGCCCAGCAGTATTTCACGAAATGTTCATGATAAATGTGTTATACACGGCTCGGCCTGGCTTTCTTCAGTTGCGGTGAGAGACTCTGTTACTGCTCTGCAGCACTGGCCTTCAGCACTGAGAAATCAGGTTAGTGGTGAGACTTGTAGCCATTTCACAGCAGTTAACCGGCCTGGACATCTGCTCTGCTAGGGGCAGGGCAAAGCCACAGGATGCTGCGTAGCCTATACTCCCTGCTCGTGCTGTTTTCAGGTGGTGGATAATCAGTAAACCTCCTTCCACAAAGAAGCTAACGGCAAGGTGTACTACATCAGTAGGCTTACGATCCTCCGTGCATATTTCCCCCTTCGGGGCTTTCTTGGGGCCCGTAGGAGTGTTCTGACGCCCGCCGCCTCGCACCTGCCCCGCGCAGCGCTGAGGGCGCTCCCGCCGCGGGCTGTGAGGGCGCGAGGCTGCGCGAGCCTCCGGCACGAGCCGCCCCCCAGCGGCCGCACGCTGCCTCCCGCCCCGCCCCGGCTCTCCCGCGCGGCCGTTGCGCCGCCGGAGCGTCAGCGGGAATTTCCAGTCAGGAAGTGCGGCGGGCCGGGGGCAGGGGAGGAGGGAAGGCAGGCGGCGGCCGCGCGGGCCGGGGTGCCGCTCGGCTGCCCTCGCCAGCAGGCCGGCAGCGGGGCCGGGGGAGGGAAGAACTGGGGAAAGTCCGCGCGGAGCCGAGGCGCGGGCGGCGTCACGCTGCTGACATGGCGCGGCGCTGAGGGGTGCGCGGCCGGGACCCGGAGGCGACGACGGCGACGACGGCGCGGCTCCGCCAGCCCTGCGCTGAGCCAGGTGAGACCGCTGCTCTCTTCCCGCCCGGCCCTCCCGCGGCGCCCGTTTGCCTCCGCTGGCCGCACTTCCTGCGACGGGCCGGACGGCCGCGCCGTGCCGCGGGCGGGGAGCTTTGACCCCTGGGCCGGGCCCTGAGGCATCGGGAGCGGCTGCCGGAGCCGCTCGGGCGGCTGGGGTGGGGGGGGTCAGAAGGCGGACACCGGCGGCGGGCCGGGGCGCGGGCACTCCCCGCTTCCTGGTGCCGAGTTCGTGCGAAGGGCGGCCGCCGCCCCGCCGTCCTGTCTTTTTTGTTGTTGTTATTGTTTATATTTCTGGTGCGGGTTTGAAAGGTCGCGCTGCGTACGTACGCGTCGCGGCTCTTCAGCGAGTTTCCCGGAGTGGCTGCAGGAGGCTCGTCGCGCTGTTCGTCACGGTGCGTGGCGGAGGACAAGACTGTCGAGCCGAGAAGGAGCCCCCCGCGGCTGTGTGTTGGGGGGGGGACGGGACGCGCCGCGCCGGCCGCGGGGGACACGCTGCCCCGGGGCTGTGCTGCGACGGGACGCTCCCACCACGGCTGCTGCACGCCTGGGCGCGCTGCCTGCCTGCAGGCGGCGGGGCGGCCGGAGCGTCGCGTCGCACGCGGTGTCGGAAGGGCGGTGGAAGGACGCTTTGGAAGGGAGCCGTTGCGTTCGGCTGCTCCTCGGAGCGGGCGCTTGGAGCCGTTGATGCTCTGGGCTCCCGTGGTAACTCGGAGCGGAGAAGCGCTTGTGGCTGACTTCGCTCTCACCCGAACGAGCGCCGTTTCTGACTCGAGCCGATGTTACGTGGCCGTTATCGTAATGCGGTGCGCGGCGATAATTTCATTCAAATCAGTAAATTAGGAGTGCCCGTGAGCATTTTCCGGATGAGGCTCGGAGGCAGAGATCCCGGTGACTTTGGTACTGCGCTTCGCCTTCCTGCTTAAAAATGCTCTGAGCCTTTGCTAAAGGGTAGTGCTTTATAAAGTAGTACAGACTCGAAACAACTGCCTTAAAGCACCTGTAATCTTTGCCATGTTTAGTTCCTTTCTTCAGATGTCCTCTTCTAATTTACTCTTCTAACAGAGACGCTTAGTACTGAATGGAACTTTCCCTAAACCGGTGCTTGCTGCACGAGGTTGAAGGTGCTGTGCATTGCCACCAGTGGTGGGCTGACAGAACAGGTTGAAAATATGGCTCTTTGTTCCTATTTACATCTCGAGTGTGTGCTGCAAAGCATTGGCTGTTGCAATAATGTTTTGGTTAAACTGGCTTTGTTATTTCCTGGCTGTCTGTTCTAGGAAAGCATTAACCGAGATGTCATTTGGAGACGTCATCCTGTCTGCAGTGTTTTGTAATATGCAGTTTAATTGAGAAAATGAAAGAGGGAAAAAGCAGCCTGTAACTATCCAGAGGTTCTCTGTTCTGTAGACTTCTGTGGCTCAGTAATTTGACCAGCATGATCCCCTGAAGTGTTATTGTCAGGATTGACCGTAGTGTTTTCAGGAGATTGCAGCAGAGATTTCAAGAAGCTTAGCACTGCAAAACATGAAAGACCTGTTAAAATGATTTAATCAGAAATATTGAGGAGAAGAGGAAAACACTGCCTTCTTTCTGTCCTCTGCTCCCTTCCCCCATCCTTTTTTATTTTTTTTTTCCAAGAAAAAATGTTGATTGACAACAGTCAACACAAAATGAAATTGTCTTGTGAGTAATGAAAATACTTTGAACAGAGTTGAGGGTTTAAAATTGAGAGTGGCTTTGTTTCATTTCATGTAATGGTGTGTATTGTGTGTTTTTTAAAAATTCTAATGTAGTGAACTTCATAATCATAGACATTTAGTTCAGTCAGTGCCTTCGTGATGTTTTGCTGATAAAGTAAATGTGCTGGGAGAGGAAAAAGTGGAAAAAGTCATCTTTGTACAGGGTGAGGTGCTGACAGGCAGAGCAGTGCTTCATTGAGATGCACACTGTAATATTTTCTGCTTCATTCATTGAGAAGTAGCAATTTTTTGTCAATGTTACTTCACATTTAATTTTCTAAATTTAAGTAAGTGCAAATATGCTTCTTTTTTTGAGGTAGTGTTATGCAATTCCAATATTTGGGCACTTACATGTAAACAAATTTGAGTCAGTTTTATTTATATATTTATATATATATATATATATATTTAATTTTCATGAAAATAAATTTCCTCTTCTTCATTGTTCCCTTTCTCCAAAACCTTTCTATGCCTTCCTTGATGAATACGTGCAAGGTCCAAAGCCAAGTTCAGTTTGGAATTCATTTTATCATGCTTCTCATCACATGTGGCTCTGGAGGGACCAGAACCAAGTTGGAAGGCCCAGAAGTCCTTACCATCAAGGATCCCCTGTGCTGCCCAAAAAGCTTAAGATTCCCTTAGTAGTAGTGAATGTCTTGAAGATGCAAACACATGGTAAAAAGCAATATTATCATTTTTACTAACTTAGAATAGGACTTACAGTGTAGCTGTTGGTCAGAAAATTCTGAAGCCTTAAGATATTCTGGGTAATTATTCTATGTTTACATAGTTCATGTGAAAACTCACTCACTAAAATCTTCCTACTTTGAGTGCTGTAAATGTGTGCCAGCTCTCTCATTAGAACAAACACGTCTGCATTTAGAAAATTGTTATTCTTTTCTTAAGTAAACAGAAGTTTAAAGTTGATTTAATTTTTTTTCTAATGTATTGGTTGCTTCTCTTTGGTTCTCAGACATAAAATAACAGATAAGGAAAAGAGAAAATTTCAGGTTAAATAATGAAAAAGAAACTCTTTTCTTGGTCACTTTCAGCTGACACAGGGTTTTTAGAAATGGAGCTTGTAATTTGATGTCCAGTAAGTGAACTGTGAGCCTTTCATGAAGCTCTGCATCAGTAGCATCATAATTACAGTTGTCATTAATTGTGCCCTTAGGTCAGCCAGACTCAATGTTTGCATCCCATTTTGAGCATAGGAAGAATTCAGTGAAAGGTTTATTTTATTGAAGTGCTGCTGGCAGATTGAGAAGTAAGGTTTGAAGAGATGTTCCACATGGTTCTGGTCTCAAGGTGAAAGCCTTTGCTGAGGATTTCGATGGAGCTGGCAGACCGTGTGTGGGGAGGAAGTTGCTGTTGCTACTGCGTGCGTTTCTTTTTTCCCCTTTCAGCTTCGGTGTTCTGAAAAGCAGCGTCACATTTCTTTTTCTCTTCACTTAAAACAGAACTAGCTAAGCTAGAATTCAATCCGTAGAGCAAACTGCACTGGTATCACAGATCAAAAGCAAAGTAGGTCTGCGTTGTGCGTTTTTGTGTTGTTTTGTTTTGAAAATTGTACTTTTGTGCTTGCATACTTATGGACGAACTGTAACACACATGAAGTCATCAAAGCGAGTGGTTTTTGTTTTAAGTTGCATTAGTTTAGTCTAAATGTTCTTTGTTACGTTAGAGTCTACTAGAGAAATTAATGCTGAGGGAGTTTTATTATTTCTCTGCAAAACATGAAGGGGAAAATAGAAGTCATAGTAACCACTCTGCAGCTGTAGCTTTAAGCCCTGGGCCGAGGAAGATTGGGATGCCTCAGCGTTAGAGCTCTTGGCATAACCGCACTGATGCTGTTCTCGGTTCGACCTCTGTGGTTCAGCTGCCTGTGTCACTTCTTTAACCAACCATTTCTGCCAAGGTGTATTTTCAGAGGCTGTTGATGAGCCAAGGGATACCGAGGATTCATTGGCTTGCTGCTGTGCTTGCAGTGGTAACTGCCCTTGCTGCTGAGCCCTTCTTTGCAGCTGTGTTCTTTAAATGAAGGCTGTCCTTCAGTAGGACTTCGGAACCTGTGTGCAAGCAGCTGCTGATATGGCAAACCTTATGTGAATTGGACCTCTGGGTTTCCTTGTTGTTTAGCTTCTCAGCAGCGCTGTTCTTTCTCTCCTCAAAAAGGAAAAGGTTTACTCTTTAGTACTGATGATTCATTTCACTTAAGGCTTCTGAAGTGGGTATGTGTGTGCTCTTTGAGTTAGTATTTAACTTTGAACAATTTTATACGAACGAGGGTATTCCTAAAGAACATTCAGTGATTCTTCTTAATCTACAGCAAAAAGTAACAGCATTTTAACACAAATTTTTAGGTTACTTCAAGTGAAGTTACCGCCTTGTGGCTAAAATACAGTGCACTTAATGGAGTTGTTTTGCAGTGTTAAACCTCAGTATTTTTACATATACTTAGCATTAAGTGTATGCGACAAGCACACTCTGATACATTTGAATACCATTTATTACTTTGGTTTAAATTGTTTTGAATGTGTTTAATAAAAACATTTTGATTTTCTTCTAATGTTGTCCTGGAAAAACAGTTTGTTGTTATGTTGGCTTGCTGCTTTGGCATTTGGTAAAGGATCAAAACAGGCAAAGAACTTGGTTGTAAAGGTACTTACATGACTACTTGGACTACATGAGTAGCTGTTACATTATCTGCCAAATAAGTTTCCTTATGCTATAATTTTTCCTTTTAGCATGATGGTTATGTGAGTTAATAATTCTGACTCTCCATTTCCTGTAGGTAATTCTGCACGAAAAATTTCAGATTCAAAGCATTGCCCTCTTTTGAAATCTTTAATCTTTGCAATCACTTTCATTTCCCAAGTGGTTTGTAGTTTTAATACTGTTGTCCAATGGTGCATCTTAGAAAATATTTTGAAATTTTATGTCAGCATTTTTTTAATTAAAAAAAAACAGCAACAACTCCCCACCCCATCCAACAGGAAATAATGAGCAAACCCTGTTAATAACAAGAGGAGGCAATTTGTGTTGGTGTGCTAGAAAAACAAACAGACAAGTTGTGTCATCTTGGATTATATAGTGTCACCGCAGCTTCAGAATTCTATGGATGAGAATCTGCAGGGGAAAGTGGCGCTTAAAGAAAGAAAAGCCTCTGCACGACTCTTTTCTTACTGCTGAGTACTTACACTGAAATCTTTTTTAGTAGATAATAACTCTGTATGTTAGC